AATTGCGTAGCTGACAGACAGGAAACTCAAGCGACAATCAAGATTTATCTTGGGCAAAGACATCTAGATTTATCAAGACTCATATAGAAGGAGTCTGTTCTATATTTCGATTTTTGAAGGTTCGAAGTACTCTCTGGTGCGTTCACCTTCGCCGCCTTTCTTTAATGGGCAGTGTGTGTGTGTGTGTGTTCGAAATTGATTGATTGGTTGTATACAAGTGCATAGCACATTGCCCGTGGTGAACAGGAAATAAAGCTGGTCTCAGTTTGGTATACGAGTTCGCCAAGTGGACCGTCTGTCGTGCGGAAATTTTTTTTCAACACTACTTCGCTTTCACTTAAGCACACAATTTAATTTAATTTAATTTTCCACACCCGATTCAGAATAATTCCATAATTCTGATTTTACACAAGTCAGGCTTTGTGTTATTTTGTCCAGTCGTTATAGGGCAACGTGCTTTTTCTAGTTGGGCCGACTATCTTCCAAAGTTGTTGAACTGCGCATGATTTTAAGATTGATTTCTTTGTCTTTAATGAGCAGTGTTTCGAAATAGAAACTCGAAAACGGCCATAATGCATCTCCATGGAACATTCTGCAACTAGTTGAAAATCTCTAAGGTAGTGTAAACTAGAACGAACATTTCAGTGGTTAGAAATTCATTGGTTTATTTCAAAACGGGTGTGGGATTGCAATGCTTTAGCGATCGTTGACCTGAAATTTTGTGGCTGAAGTTTCGCTTACTAGTCGTTTTACTATCTTTATGACTTTCTCCATTACTTCATTGAAGTCAACAAAACACGTTCAATCAATTGGTTCAAGCACCGTATTCATAGTGTTTACAGCGAGTTGATGCTTAAGAATTAAAGTTAAAATTGTTTTCAAAATAAACTATTTTCGTACCTCCGTATATCCATGAGTCCTGCTCAGAGAAACGGCAAGCTTGACCGATAGAAAATTTCTCTTCCGACCGGAATCGCTTATAGAATACTGATGAATGGAAGCTTATTTTTGTCCTCTATAATATATGTAGTCTGTTGTAATTTTTATTTGTCTCACTGGAAGAAGATTTCTCCTATTGAAAAACACATTTTGAGACGAAATAGTCACTTCTGGTCAAGGGC